AAGGAAGGTAGGATGAAAAGCGGATTGGAAGTTTCCACGGTGGAAAGGATGGATAGAAAGAGATAAAAGGAGAAAAAAAGAAGAAAAAGTAAAAGAGGGTAAAAATGTAAGCAACACACGGTAGGTCAGTCTCTTGGTTGTCAGCGGTTGGCGAATTGGTTGGGTTGCCATGGAGAACGCCGGGTATTCCCTGGATTCGGGCCCGCCCCAACGGGAAACCCCCATTCGGGAAATTCGTGGCGTCGCCGAAGCTGTCGCGGTGCCGGAGGTTTAGCTCGGCTCGGCTAATCGATTCTGCTACCAATCAGCGCCCGCGCCGTCTCTCTTCGTCCCCGTCCTCCTCCACTTCTCGTTCTACCTCTTCTTTCGCTTCCTCTTTCTTTCACTCCTCCTCCTTTCTTTCTTGCTTCACCAACATGAGTCTTTCTCTTCGAATCCCTCTTACGTGTGTGTCGTCCAACGAGATATCGCTCTGAAATTCGAAACAACGCAGTCTGATTCTCTCTTTGGACATCGTTGTCGTAATTAGTGGTAACTAGGATTTCTTGCTTTTACTTTTCTTTTTTTCAAGGTGAACACGTTAGTCGGAAAGCAGATATATATTTAACCTTGACCATCGAGTTATAAGAACAATGAATTATAATTAATTAAAGGTTACTAGATCTTTTTCTTCGTATTTTATGGGGAAATATAATAGATATGGAAATTATATAGGAGAGATCATTGGAGAATATTTAGATGAATTAGATATTTTTTTGTTTGTTCGATTTTTATGTGAAAGTAAGAAAAACTAAATAAATGATAAATAATCAAGGTTAAGATTAATAGCTTTCATCAAAAAATTAATAATTTTTAAATGTCAAATTAATAATTGATTATTTATATAATTTTTCTGTATGTCGTGCGGGATTTATAAATTATATTTTAAAAGTGCAACAGTTCTAAAAGATATAATAATAATAAAATGAATAAAAAAAAGATTGTGTTTTTTATAAAAATTATTGTGGTACTTTTTTTCCACATATCATAAGAATATATATACATATATATGTATATAGAATGTACAATAAAATTATTTTTTTTTTATTATAATATACCAAAATCTTGTGAATATATTATAAAATGATAAGTGACATAATCTTTGAGGATTTCCTAACGTTACGGATAAGAATAGTAGATAGTGGAAAAAAGACAGAAATAGAATAAAAATACTGAAATCAACGCCATCTTCAGAGTGCCGCAAATGAAACTCATAAAGAAAGGACAGAAAATAGTAAGAAAAGGATAGAGATAGATAAGAATTGATCGTCAGTGTCATCTCTTGAGAATTAAAGATATTTTTTCAAAGAATAATTCTAGAAGTACTCTCAGAGATGGTACTGACTTTTAATTCTTGCTTTATCTTTATTTTTTTTCTATTATTTGTTCTCTTTATCTATATTTGAGTTTCATTTGCGACATTCTGGAGATGACGTTGATTTCAATATGTATATCTTATTTCCGTTTCTTTTCTCATTATTTATTTTCTTTTTGTCTACATTTGCTTAGAGTAATAAAAATAAATTCACAAAGAAAAGATAAAAATAATTTAAAAAAGATAGAGATACAATGAGAATTGATTATCAGTACCATCTCTTGAGAGCAAAAGATATTTGTTTAAGCAATCGTCTTTTAAAAAGATGTAGAGATGGCGCTGACAGTCAATTCTTTTTCTTTATTTTTCTTTTATTATTTTCTGTTCTTTCTTTATAAATTTTATTTGCGGTATTTTGAAAATGAAGTTAATTTATTTGAATGAATATAATATATAATATATTGAATGAAGTATTTTTACTTTATCTCTGTCCTTCTTCCAGTATCTATTATTTTTGCCTATAACGTTATCAGTTGTCGAATATTATTTTATATATATGCAAGTTTTACGAGAAATATTAATTAATTAAAAAAAATTATTTTAATTTTAATAAAAAAAAATTTTTATTTGTATATATATATATTGTCACGGAAAAAAACAAATGAAAATCATTTTTATAAAAATATATATATATAATTGTTCGAAATCAAAGTGAAGCCAAATAATATATTAGATTCATAATAAATAAATGACTAGTCTCGAACAAATTACGCATTTCGGAAAAAAACTATTTATGATTTATTATTTATGATTTTATATCAAAATTTAATTTTATTCGCAATCTTTATTAATATTGCAATTTTATTCTAAATTAGAAATAATGTTGAAGATAATATTAAAATAGTAAGAGCATTGAATTGCATTGGATGTTTTATTGGACATTTATTCTATATTTCGAAATATAAGGAATAATATTTTTTGAGATTTAAAGAATAATTTAAAAAAAAATTCTAAATTTTATTTATTTATAAATTATGGATCATTATAATGTGCTTTTAACTTTTATTTTTTGTAATACATTTTTTATTAATATTACATTATATATATTGAATATATTTTTTATTTTAAAAAAATTTTTTAAAAGAATAAATTAAAAATAATAAAAATGTAATAAAATAGTATTTTTTATTTAATGTTTAATATATTTTTAAATTAAGAATTCTGACTTTGAAGCTACCATCCTAAGATTAAATAACCTACATTTCCCTAGACTGCTTAGTTATAAATTTAACGAAAACGATATGTATATATACCTAGTTTATTATCGTTGTATATAGAAATATTAAAATGAATAATGTCAATCTCTATTTAAATTTGTCTTGTTATCGAAATTCAATTATTTGTGCCTGTAATAAGAATTCTTAGAATATACGTAAAAAAATGTGAAGCAGTAATATAAAAAATATTGCATTCATACGTATGTAAACATTACGCAATAAGCGGTTTCCAGGGGAAACATATCTGACGGGACACTGTGAAATTGTAAATTAAATCGTGTCGTGATTTGATTATTTAAAACAGATATTTGATTTCATTGCAAATATAATTCAATTTTCAGTGCAAAGCCAGTGACCGTGTCTTATCACGGCCTGAAATTTTACGCGTGAAATGTCAAAATGGCGTCTTCGCAGGACGCTTGGTATCTATCGTTGTTAGGGCTAGCAGAAAACTTTCGAACCTCCAGTCCACCGAATATTAAGTCGTGTATACAGTGCTTACAAGCGGTTTTTAATTTTAAACCGCCTCCGAGAGTTGAAGCACGTACTCATCTTCAACTTGGCAACATCCTTCTTACGCATACCAAAAACATCGATTTGGCGCGGTCTCATTTAGAACAAGCGGTCAGTTAAAATGTTATTATATTTCAATTACTTGTATTCAATATTTTTTTAATATTGTTCTTTATCATTATTGTACGTTTTGTATAAATTTTCATACATTTGTTTATCTTAATTCTAACCTTTCTTTTTATTTTGGTACAGTCGGTAATATAACATACGAAGTAATTGAAGATTGTTACATTAACTGATATATAATAAACTAATAATATATATAGTATAATCATAAATGTGATTTAATTAATATGTATATAATATTAATATTACATTTCAGTGGCGATTGAGTCAAAATATAAATACTTTTGATGATGTTAAGTTTGAAGCAGCAAGTGTAGTTGCAGAATTATATGAACAACAACAGCAACCAAATCTTAGTAAACCAATATTACGGAAAGCTATAGAACTTTCGCAACATAATGTATATTGGCATTGTAGACTTATTTTTCAACTTGCAGTAAGTTATCAATAATTTTAAGTAATGTCAATAATCATATAATTATCAAATGATATTTTTGTTTTAGCAAATACATGCATCGGAAAAAGATTTTGTTGCAGCTAGTAGTTTACTTGCAGTAGGTGTTGATTATTCTCATATCAGCAATGCAAGTTATACAAGAGTTTTGTTCTTGTTGAGCCGATGTATGCTTTTATTAATAGATAAAAAATTTACTGAAGTTCACCCTCTTTTAAATTCAGCTGGTCATCATGTTGAAAATTGGCAGGGTAATCCACATCAAAAAGAATATTTGAAAGTATATTTTTTGGTACTTCAAGTCTGTCATTATTTAATGGCAGGACAAGTAAGCATTCAATAATATTTTTTATTTAACAAATTCGTGCAAATAATTTATTTATATATATTATTGAAGGTTAAAAGTGTAAAACCTTGTTTAAAACAATTACAACAAAGTATACAAACTATAATGTCTCCTAGTTGGCCAGCAGATGAAGTAGTTACAGGTTCAAATATTGGAGATATGTTTATATGGATGCCAAAGGACCATTTATATGTTTTGGTTTATTTAGTAACAGTTATGCATTCAATGCAAGCTGGTTATATGGATAAAGCTCAAAAATATACAGATAAAGCATTAACTCAAATTGAAAAACTCAAAAGTAAATATAATTTTCAAATACAACAATTTTTTTAACAAAATTATTATATTTTTATAACGTTTATATCATTCAACAGTTGTTGACAACAAGCCAATATTATCTGTTTTCCAATTAATGTTATTGGAACATATAGTAATGTGTCGATTAGTGATGGGAAATAAAAGTGTAGCCCTTGCAGAAATTTCTCAAGCTTGCGAACTTTGTAGAAGACAACCAAGGTTACTTCAAGGTCATAAACCACAATTGCATGCTTTATTGGGATTATATGCAATGTCAATGAATTGTATGGAAGCCGCGGAAGCGCAATTTACAGCTGCTTTGAGAGTAAGAAGATAAATTAAAGACGAATTAAATATTAATTAAATATTAAATATATAATTTTAATAACATTATTCAAAATAATTTCTTTTTTTTTTTTAGACATCACAAGAAAGAGAATTGTGGACTTTCGCGAACTTAAATTTAGCAATAGTATATCTTAGGACAAAGAGAGATGCAGATTTAGGTGCTTTATTAGAACGAATAAATCCAGAATCTTTACCATCTCACTCGCATTCTTTAAGAGCAGCAGCCTATTATGTTCAGGGTCTTCAAGCATTTTTTGGAGCTAGATACAATGAAGCAAAGTATAAATTAATAAATATTTGATTAAATTGATTAATATTAAAAAAAAAAAGATTAATGATTATCTATAAATATATTTATAGGAGATATCTCCGGGAAACATTAAAAATGGCTAATTCTGAAGATTTGAATAGACTTACTTCATGTAGTCTTGTCCTTCTGGGACATATATTTCTTTCTTTAGGAAATAGTAGAGAATCTATGAACATGGTTACACCTGCAATGCAACTAGCTTCTAAAATACCTGACGTCCATGTACAATTATGGGCTACTGCTATTCTTAAAGGTAATTAGATTTTTTTCAAATAAGAAGAAATTTAATTTTAATTAAATGATATTTTTATTGACAGATTTATATAGAATTTGCGGGGATCCGAGTCGTGAAAGTGAAGCATATCAAATGCATTGCACGTTTTCGCAAACTCTCTTAAAAGATCACTTTCAAAGTACACAAATGGGTGAACATACTCTTATACAATGGACTGATGGGCCTGTGCCTGCTTTGCCGAATAATCCACCACCTTCGACGTCGCAAGCAATTCTTTAATAATTTCTAGAAATTCCATAACTTGTATGTGTAAAACATGTAAGATATTTGACAAAACACAAAAATATGTTAGGTTTGTATAATTTTATTGGATTATAGGTTAAATTAAAAAATAAATAATATTGAGAGAGTAAAGATAGGAATAAAATAGGAAAATACAAGACTCTCCTAAATGAAAAAATTAAAATCAGTTGAATTAAAAAAGGAGCAGATTAATTGCGATTAAATTGAAGAGAATAAATTTAATATGGATATTAAATAATATCCACATTCATTATTTATTACCTAAATAATTTCAGGCAACTAAAAATCAGATTTTCATTTGCAGGGTTTCATAAGATATTATATATATAGGTTTGTACAAACAAAATTTATTGTAGTCATTTTCTATGTCACAGAGATAAATACATAAAAATAGTATAAAAGAAAATATGTATAAAGTATGGATATATTTTATTATTTTGTAAATTGTAAATTATCTCAAAACTTTCTTTTCTATAAGTATAAATCTGTATTAGAGAGAGAGAAAAAAATCAACAATGCTTCAGATATCAAAATAATTAAATACATTTTTCAATATAACTATTACTATTGCACAAAGACATTTAAAATTTAAAATCAATATATTTAATTTATGCTATAAAAGTGATAGATTTTTATATAAGAAAACAAAATTATATATTATTAATGGTTAAATTAAGGAATACATGCTTATTAAATAATGCTTTAATAATTTAAGTTTTGAAAAATTTGATTTGTCACAAAAAATTTCTGTTCGTACTAATTTTTCTTTATATCTCAATTGCTCTCTAATTCATCTGAATGTGACATTTTAAATATAAAACAATAATGTAATTATTCTTCTTCATATGTTGATTTTATCCATATATTTTAAATTTATAATCCATTCAACTTTTCAAGTTTACATAGCACGTTGGCAAATATGTTTTGAATTAAATTTTATTAAATCGAGATTGGTAAGATATTATAATAAATAATATGGATCAAATACATAATACGTCGGTGCATATTTAAAAAAATTATAAATCTATATGTTTAAATGTAAATTCAAATACTAAAGATTAAAACATTTGACGACAGATATGAACGAATAAAAAAAAAATAAAAACAATGTTACAAAATATTGATAATATTTCCAACGTACTATGCTTTTCAATGACCAAAGTAGTCGTTTAAAATTTGGGCTGTGGATACAACAGAAATAATAGTATGTTCATAAAAGTGTACTCTTATGAAATATGTTGATAGGTACAATAGATTACAGTATGTCTTCGAAAAATAAAAGAAATATCGTACCTATCGTATGCGTGGTGCGTATCAGTTGATGTGTTTTTATTAAATAATGTATGTATGTAATGTATAATTAAAATAAATACAATCGTAAGTAGTATTAAATAGAGCAATATATGAGAAAGAAAAAAATAAAGGGGCCTTAATATGTGGTAAGCTAAATGGCAAAGATGTTTTGCAAAGATGACTCTTTGCTTTGTTTTTAAATTAAGATATTGTACATATTTTAAATAGTAAAGATAATAAAAAATAAAAGAGAGAAAAAATATAATGAATTATATGCCTGTAAAAAAATTTTTTGTGTAATTATGTAATCAATATTGAAATTTTATCATTTGAATTAATTGTCATTTTTGAGTTTCTTCTTTGTAATATTTATATGTATTTTTGGTGGTTGTACATGATGATAAAAATCTATAAAAATAAATAAATCTTAGGAAAATGTGGTTGTATAATAAATTAGTCGTTTTAAAATAATTATTTAATGATTTTTAATTGTTTTTTAAAATAATTTATCATCTCATTTCATTTTTCATTCTTTTATAACTTAAATTATAACAACTTTTATATATAATTTGCTACAATTATAAGATGTATTTACATTCATTGTCTATACCATACTTGTAATGTTTTCATACGTTTAACTTTTTTCTGCAATTGAAGTATACCATACATTAAAGCTTCTGCTGTTGGGGGACATCCTGAAATGTATTTATAACATATAGCTAACTTTATTTTCATTCTATTTTTATATATAACAAATATAATAATAAGAATAATAATATAAATCTGTAATGTATAATGTAATGTATAAATGTTTTATAATGTTACCTGGCACATATATGTCCACAGGTATAATCCTATCACATCCTCTGACAACAGAATAACTATAATGATAATAACCACCACCATTAGCACAGCTTCCCATTGAAATAACCCAACGAGGTTCAGGCATTTGATCATATATTTTCCTCAATGCTGGGGCCATTTTATTTGTTAGAGTACCAGCAACTATAATAACATCAGCTTGTCTTGGAGAAGCCCTAAATACAACTCCATATCTATCCATATCATATCTTGGAGCTGCTATGTGCATCATTTCAACAGCACAACAAGCTAGACCAAATGTAAGTGGCCACATTGATCCTTTACGACCCCAATTTAAAATATCATCTAATCGAGCTACTGCATATTCAGCAAGATTGTTAGTATTTTGAAAAGGGCTATAAGGTATCTTCTTTACTTTTTGTGGCAAAGAACTTTTACTTGTTTTTGATATATCTGTGGCCATGTGTTTAGTTTGACAAACTAAAGATGCTGGACATCCTGCTAATGCAATGTTATTGCGTATCAGGGATGTTAGACCCTGATTAACAGAGGCTAAAAAAAAAAGAAACATGTCATGTTAATTTTTCATTTATTTTTTTGTTTTATATAAATTTATAATTAAATATTTATATTTATATTAATTAAAAAAAAAACAATTTTTTAATATTATTAAAAATCCAGTACAAAAGGTTATAGTGTAGTATTAAATTTGAAATTTGAAGTTTGAAAAGACAATGTATATTTCAATATAGAAAAATCAAATTAAATTAGACAAAATTGCCACATCTTATGCAATATAAACTGTTAGAATCAAATATAAAATTAAATGTGAAATTATATGCTATAATTATACATTTATGATAAAATTTTAAGCTAAAAAGAAAAATGTTGTTTTCTGCACTTAATATTTATTATCTTAATAGTTGAAAACAATTGAAAACATTGAAATTAAATCGTAAACTTACGTGAAAACACAAGAGAGCGCAACATTTTTCACCCTACACACCCTCTCCGACACTTAGTTGTCTGGTATAGTATGATTCTGCGCTGTGAATACATAGTATAGCATAACAAACATGTATAGTAGTTCGATATAGACTATAGGCGGACTAAGAATAGACGAGGAAAGGAAATAGTAGATAAAGGATAGAGATAAAGTAAAAATACTGAAATCAACGCCATCTCTAGATGTGCCGTAAACGAAACTCACAAAGAAAAGACAAAAAATAATAAAAAAAGGATGAGATAAAATAAGAATTGACTATTAGTGCCATCTCTAAGAACTTCTAGAAAGATTATCCTCTAAATATATGTCCTTGATCCTCAAGAGATGGCTCTAGCGGTCAATTCTTATCCTATCTCCATCCTTTTCTTACTATTTTCTATCCTTTCTTTGTGAGTTTCATTTGCGGCACTCTGAAGATAGCGCTGATTTCAATATTTTTACCATATCTCTATCCTTTTCTCACATTTTGCTCTCCTTGTCTACATTTATCAATGATTTTATACAATATACAATACAGATATAAAATATTAATTGAATATTTACTTTCATCGTTTCTCTTTCAAAGTTATAACGTGTTTTTAATATAAAAAATATGAATAAATAAACGAATCTTTCGTAGAATGTTTTTATTGGCTCAGTTTCTGTTTTATACAAAACATCTAAGAAACACAGATGCTTTCCGCTGACATTTGTTTTAAAACTTCGCCTCACGAAAGCGGCTAATCTATCGGTTTCGCGATTTCCTAGTCTTGCAGTTCCCAAAGGGCACACTAAAATACAATGCGATATTGGTTTTTTTTGCTTCAACTTGCAATTGTGCTTGTATGTCGACGCATCTAATCATAAACACTATCTATTACTCATGGTGGTCATTAAAAATTCCAAACGTAAATTCTTAAAAAGTGCCTCTCAAGTGAAGAACTGTGAACTACTTCAGCAACGGACGGGGACGTTAACTAAGGCCATGGAACCAAATTTTACTATTCGCTCATAAACGATTTGCTATATACAAAAACGGTCCCTACGATTTATCGCTTATCAATCGAGCTAATTTTCCTTTCATCTAAGGCTTCTGTTTTTTATTTTTTAATTTTTTCACCATTTCGCTTCCATCAAGCGGCACAATAAAATATCGTTACGTTTTATAGATGTACGATGCTTCGTTGAACGAAAACTGCATTTAATAATTTTGTTGGAAAAGTAGGCGCGTGTGAACTGTGTGCAATTTGTACGTTGTATCGTAGAGAACTATTTAGCATAAGTTCATTAACCGATAAACACCTAGTAAGTAACATTAAGTAACAACTTATACTTCAACAACAACAATAGAATCATTTGTCATCCCTTTTTTTCTTCAGATCGTATATATGAATAGTTTCCATCATTAGCAGCAGCTTACGTAATTTACAAATGCCGTAATTTTTTCTTTTTTCGGCCAGTATATTAATCGATTAATCGATTTATTCAATGCCACTTTTTAAAAAAATTTCTGTTTAAAATCGATCGACAATTTTTTCAAAGTGAAACACACATTTAATGTTCCAAACTAGCTATTAAAATATAAGAATTCTACCAAAAAAAAGAAAGAATTTTTTAACAAAATTTTACATTCTTGTAAATTCTTCTTCTTCATTATTTCTCTTTTAATATTTTTAACAATATACAGACAATATTATATCGGTATATAACAAGAGGATTAAATTTTACGCTTGACACGTGCGCACCTGTAATTTAACTTCCTTGTAATTTATTTTTTCCATTATTTTCCTGTCTTTCTTTGTTTCATACAATAAAAGATTATAAATAATTTAAATTTGAATAAATTCTTAGTAAAAAATATATATGTTTACATGTGTTATTTTCATTTCAAAAAAGTTAATAGAAATTGAAGATTTGTAAATTCATATTATTTTTTTCAATTACAAGGAAGTCAATAACAATCGTTACGTAACATGGCACGAAATGTATCTTAAAATTCACAGTCTACAACGTCGAGGTATCGACTAATCTACCAAAAATGTGATTTTTAAGAATGATATTCTAAACTTTTTTCTATAGAATCTCTGTCTAAAATTTTCAATTTACTTTGTGCGCCATTTTTATCATCGATCGTTTCGAAATCACGATTCTAGATAAAACTGAACGATCGTAGCTTCAGACTTTTTAACATTTCTATAAATTCTTATGAGCTGTTCGGTGCGCATTTTTCACATGCACAAATGATACTCACTCGAAATTTTGTCACGGTATTCAAATTGTATATCAAATCGTAATATTCGAAATCGTTAATACGAATTCTCATTGGGTAAAATTGTAATTCATCATTTTTTAGCGATATGATCAAAACAGGGAATAGCATTGTCCTTCAAATTGAGCAAGTTTTCGTTCAACAATAAAAATCCCAATTAATATCAGCTTCGCGTTTAACATTAAGAGATAAACCGAGGAACAAGATTTTTGAAAAAATATATATATATAAAAAAAAAAATATAAAAAAGTTATTGCAGCAATAAATCTTCGTGTCGTTTATCTCCCCCTTCCCTCTGCATTTTTCATTTTCAATTCTTCCGTTTTTTTATGTGCGTTATCTTATTTATCTTCTCTCAATATTTACATAATAACATAAGTTACAAATCGATTAATTCACAGAATCCTTTTTTTTTTCTCGGATACATTATGTTTGTTGATATGGCCTCACGGATTCTGCAAAATTCTTATTATTATGTAACATTTGTTCCGTAGCGAGTATCACTGGCGCAGACGAACGTTTCTAGTGTAGCGTGTAAAACGAAAGTGAAACGTTTAAGCGGCTAATGATTAAGTCTGCGTAATTCCATCGCTGCGATGTCGTCTACGGATATAAGCTTCTCTATGGGGATGCAAGAGAGTTCGCCACCAACGCACGATTGCGGTTGCTGCCATCTAGCCTCTCTTTCCGCCTCCTTGGCTTTCTCCGCCTCCCTTGCTCTCCTTTCTTTCAATTTCAACGAAAAAATCGCCACAGATCTGGCTCTCTTCATCAAACTCTGTTTCACTCTGGTCTTCTTTGCCTCCCTTTCCTCTTTCGACGGTTTCTCCTCTTCTTGACTGGAGATAGTTTTGCTCGAGTCTGAAAGACCGCTATCCTTCTCTTTCTCGGCGTAATAAGATAATTGTTGTTTGTGATCTTGAATCTCCCGTTGATGAAGTTGATATTGTTGCTTCTCTGTCTTTTCCCGTTCTCTTTCTCTTTCTCTTTCTCTTTCAGGGGAGAATCGAAACTTTTGATTCCTATGAGCCACTGTCCATGGTGGAGCAGACCTTTTGACACCATAAAATTAATTAATATAAATGCAATACAATGTCGTCACAATTCAATTCGAAATTGAAATAGAATAACGAACGAACTCGAAATTAAAATTGAAATAAAATTCTATTGAAATAGAATACCTAAGAAGATCACTGTCCGACGAAGAGGCAAGCTCTTTCGAAACGATACAATCGGTGGATCTATGAAGAGTTAATTCATCCCCCGTACCAACAGTACCGGCACCGCTGATCTCGGAATCGCTAGACTTCCGCCCACCAGCTTCGAGGCCCAATCTTCGAACCCAGTCCACACCTCCGTGAGGGCCGATCGTTAAATGATGACTGTAATGATCGGTTCCACCCGACGCCTCCGATTCATTCTGAAGCCATTCCCTCGAACGCCTTCCTGTACAAAAATAGAAAACACTCTTTTTTAACGATACTATTTGATTCATCTCCAGAATGTTTTCAAATATACTACGCATATACTACATTGTGTACATTTTTTTCTACCAAGCATGAAGAAGAAGAAGAAAAAGAAGAAGAAACACAATCGAACCTCGTTCTCCACCAGGAATAGAGCATCTAGGTGAATTGTGAATATCACGAACGCTGCCCATGCTGTTCTCGGTTGGGAAATGGGTGGCAAATTCGCTGCTGCTCGCGCTACCAGGAGTCTGGACCACAGAAGGTGTTTCCGCGATCCTTGGCACGGATGCCGCGCTAGGTGTTGGGGGACTACTGGGTGTCTGGGTGGATGATGCTAGGGTCGGTGTGTCCGGAAGGCTGGAGGACGTTGCATCTCCGGTACGATTGGAAAGCAGTTGTTGTTCTTCGCTCTCACCGTCTGCTGGACTCACCACGAATCTCCCTGAGTTCGAGCGAAATTAATACATGGTAGGAGGGAGGAAAAGATCGAGTGGGTGTCGTGTTTCACCGGGTCGATTGGGCCGATCATTGGAAATAAAAGAATTTTATATACACAATATCAGAGTTCCTTGGAATTCCTTCAACTTTGCGAATCTTCTCTTACGCTTCTCCCTTCAAAATTCCTTTATCTCCACCATCATTTCTTCTTCTTCGAATTCCTTAAATTTCTTCGACCTCCATGAATCCCTTTCAGCTTGAATTCTTCGAATTCTATTGATCTTCGAGTTCCTCTACGCCTCTGTGCAAGCTCCTTAAATTCTGAATTCGTTTCGTTTCTCAAAGTTGTTGGAATTCCTTAGAGCTCTTCAATTTTCGTGCACAACATTTTGATCGATGAAATATCTATGAAATATATATATATATGTACATTCGTTTCAATATCGAGTTTCAAATAAGCAGGAGAATTTTTTGGAAAAGCGGATGAAGGGGAAGAATACAACGACAAGGAGCCAAAGTCGAGTAGCTTGTTAGGTTAGAATCGAATAATATATAACATAACCTTATTTTTACTTACCTATCACTGTGGCTGGATGCTGTTCAGGGGACGGGGTAGACGAAAGTCTTCTGACCGCTTCTCTCCTCAAAAATTCTACCTTGGCCATTTCCGTGGCAACCCAATGCGGAATATCTGGGATCGCACAGATTATGATAAATCGTATACCGAGCATGATGTGCTCGAGCGCGACTATAAGCAAAATCGTTTGCGTGGCCGACATTTCTGGAAACATTCGTTGCACTTGCCCGCTCAATCCGATCAGAGCGCAATTTACCAGAATTGCGACCAAACCCATAGCCTCCATCGCGTTCTAAAAAAAAATATCTTAATTTATTTAACTTATTTGAAAGAAAATTCAATAATTCTCAAGTATAAGATTTTTTTTTTTTTTTTTGATAAGG